TATGAAATTTTTTATTCTGGTGAGACATGATACGGAGCCAAACTAAAATTTAAGAAGATAATAAGTTTTTATTTTCTTTGTATATAACAAATGTTTTCGAATTTTCTTCAAAATAGAGTTTGTCAAACTAGTGTAAGTATACTTCGATAAAAATTCTAGTGATGAGGAACATGAAATAATTTTAAATCAAACTTCAAGCTCTTCAAATATCCAGAAACTTGTAAATCAATGAAGCACACCTGTGACAATTTTAAATTAAATTTTATTTGGCTTTAGTGCTCCGAAAGCAAAACGCGCTACATTATTCAAAACATTTTTCGACAGAAAAAAGATCCATACTTTTTTGAATAGCCGAGCAATCGTATAAAGAGAAAGATTGATTTTGAAATTAAATTCATTAAGCGACAAAACTTTATAAGCTCTAAAAGGCACACCAAATCAAGGCGTATAAACAAAATATTAACAAGTACTTCTGAGTAAGTTTTGATAAAAAATTGAACACTTATTTTGCAACATTAAAAAAAACTAAATCACATAAATCTACTTCAAAATAGTATGAAACTGATTGATTGTCTAACATTTTTTTCAGTTTTTTTCTTTATTTTGTCAAAAGTAGCAAACTTTTTCCAAGTTTATCTCTTTTTGGCATTCCATAAGCCAATTTAGGACCAGTAACGTTTTCTCGAAATCTGTCATTGGCGGGTTATGGAAATTATTTTCGACCAATCCTTGCTGAGAAATAACACCAGCATAAGGTAACGGTCTAGGGTCGCCCACGTCGGGAACCGAACCTAGGTCCTCTGGGTTGTTAGTTGAACTCCTGTTTTTCTTTCTGAACTGACGTAATGTACTACTACTGGCACCTTGACTGTCAAAAAACTGGTGCAGTTTTTTGAAATCGATCTCGGAACCTCGATAAAATGATCCACTAGAAGTCACATCTGCATTTTGTTTATCTTGTATACATTTCATTTGATCAAATTGTTTACCAGTGACATCGAATTTCGTTTCGAGGTACTGATTTCGTTGGCAATGTTTAGACGTTATGGTTGAGTAATCTGGTTCTCTTGGATTATGAGTCGATTTAGTCGAAAGCAAATTACTAGAATTTTTCAAGAACCTTTCGCCCAAAACTGGCGACGCGGGCGCAGACCGCCCGTGGTTTTTACTTGTTGTCGGGGGCGGAGAGTCGACGCTCCCATTTGGCAGATATTTATAAGTTTCGGTATTTTGTCTGGAATGTTGTTGGGATGAGTTCTGCTTAAGGTGATTCGGTTGGGCGGATGCTAAACTAAAATCGAAGTAGTATTTAACTTGATGTGATTTTACAGGTGATTTTGGTGTTGGTGATTCTGCAATCGCTTCACTGACCGAAGACTTTCTAAGTCGAAAATTTGGGTTCGTTGATGGCAAAGATTGCGGAACGTATAACGACGACTTGGCAGAAACTTGAGCCGTAACTTCAGGATAGGTTTGAGTACATTTCGAATCTTGTCGACCGTTGATACTTTCGGCTTCGCGAACATCGGCTCTGTGATTTGACGAGGATTGCTTCCGGATATCACCGAGCGGTACTCGTGCTTGCCGATTGGTCCTCAGATTTGGTGTCGGCAACGCGGACCCGCCTTGAGAATGCGCTTGCAACGTTGTCGCCGAAGCGCTCCGAGGTGTGGGCGTATTTGTACTGCTAACAACCACGTCTAAATTTGAGTGATTTGATTGGCTGATATTTACTGGATTCTGATTGGCTGACGCGATTCGAGGCGAGGATTGGTTGACCAATAAGGAATTGGCAGTATCGAGTGTTGCGTAACCGCTGCTTTTATGTTCTGGTGATGACGAAACTGAATGGTTGTTTGTGGCGGCGATGAAATTTTCCAAGGATAGCACTCGTTGCTTTGAGGATGAACTCGGGTGGTTGTGAGATTTGTGGGATCGACGGCTGTTTTTGGAATCCCTTCTGAAAAACAATAGAAACTTTTAGCTCAAAAGTAATAGGAAAGTAAGCATCGTAACTGGAATTTTCAAAACATATTTGCCCGAAAATTTTTTTGCTGAACTTTTTTACGTTCGTTTTTCAATCATAAACCTAAAAGTTTTACCATCATTTTGCACCATTCAAAAATTTGAAGCGTAAAAACTACTGCTCGCAATTATTTTAAAAAATTTGTAGAAAAACCGCAGAATTGAATCATAACAAATAAAAACAAAAACGACCAAGCAAGAAATAACAGTGAAGAAAATTCCGAGAGAGTAGCTGATCTAAACCATTGATTATCCTCATTCAAAATTGCTGCTCCTTTCTTTCAAAAATTCATCCCTCAAATTTGCACTTAATTTTGTCTTCTATTTTTAGTTTTGCAAATCTGCAGTTATTCAAAGAAAATGTCCCCTGTTCAATTCCTCAAGCACTCCCTAATAAACCCAATTATCTTTTGATCAAAACAATAATCCGTGAAGACATTTTGTACCTCAAAACTGATCAAGTCCTAACAAAAAAAATCCATCATTATTTGCGGGGAAATGGAAAATTTAATCAAATGCACCCAATTGTACCAGAAGGGGGAAATAGTAAAAGAGAAAAGCCCAATAAGGAATGAATCGGAGAATCAATTAGCCCTTCAAACAATTTCGTCCCACTTTCTTCCTTTTGATTAGTTATTTCCCTACTGAGAAAGTGATACCAAATTGATATCAAAACGATACCAATCTTAGCATTTCCTCAATTTAATATCCGCGAATCTCTGATGGCATTTGAAGCAAAAAACTGCGCAAAAGCGTGAATAAAGATTGATTTCAGAAGAAACTTGAAAATAAACTTGAGCAAAGGAGTGAACAACTTTTTTTGAACAAAAATATTCTGTAATTCACCAAACCGGAAAAATTGGAAAAACAATTATAGTAGAACCAAAAATATGCGATTAACTTCAATTGGAAAAACATCACAGCGAAATTTTAAAAACCGCTAATCTACAAAAAAAATTGTTTTGTTCAAGGTGAAAAATCCTTAGGCAAAAAAAAACAAGACTAATTACCGAAAAAAAATCAGATAAAACAATTGTCAGTTCTAAGCCTAGACATTTAAACATCAATGAAAATCGAAGGCGTTGATTTTCATTATGACTAATTTATGTCTGAGGTTTGCCTTTTGCATGAGGAAAAATCAAATCCATTTTTTTAATGTGCGCTAGGCTACAAAATGAGTCAATACTAAAATCAGTGCAAGTTGATAAAAAAATCATGTTACTCAAAGTAACATCTGCGCAAAAGTAATTGTCTTTTTATCGCAAGAAAACGAAAATTCAAGCACTTTCGAAAAGTCCTCTACACATTTAATAGCCCTCTATGCTACATTCTTTTAAAGACTGCCATCTTAAAAACGTAAGAAGTTGGCAATTATGTCAAGTATTTCTTATCGAACGAATATAATGAAGTTGTCAACTTCACGAAAATTAAAAACTTACGTTGAATTTAAGGGACCGCTAGCGCCTTGACGTGAAAATCCACCTTTTTGGGCTGTTGAGTTTTGATGTGCTTCTGGGCCGTGGAAAACGTTATCGGAACTTTCGTTGGACGAAGTAACTTTCGGACTTCGCATTTTTCGTTCGTTGCAGCTTGTCATTGATTCTTGCGTATGTTCATTGTTCAAATCGGTTTCGCTTGTCAAGTTTTGAACATTTTCGTTGGCAAAAATCACAGGACTTGAAGTTTTATTCGGTTCCATTCGACATTTTTCCGAAGGTTTTTGAAGTCCATTTTGGTTTTCAGCAGAGAAATCACGATACATGTAATCACTTTGCTGGTAGCTTTTAGGCACCAAAAGATTTTGTTGATGCTGTTGTTGTTGTTGTTGTTGATGATGATGTTGATGAATAGGCTGATTTTTTTCTACAACCCGTTTTGAACCGTAAGTTGGGTTTTGCATCTGGCTTTGATTATGATGGTTATGAGTTGTAGCGACAACGTTTGACAAGTTTTTATTTATCTGTTGTTGTTGTTGTTGTTGTTTTCGCTGTTGATGATGATTCTGATGCTGCAAACAAGCACTTGTACCATAATGATTTTGCTGGACCGAATTATTAGTACTACTATTAACACCGCTATTCGTGAAATTACTCTCATAAACCTGGTTCGAATGCGCGTTCAAATCAATGTAATTATTCGTAAAACTAGCAGCTTGATAATCTCGACGATTTGGCTCGACTGTTTGATGCGTGCTTGGGTAATACGTTACGTATGTATTAGACCGATCGGTTGTTATAATTGGGTAATAAACTAGTTTGTCAACTTGAATAGGATCTTCGGCTTGGAAAACAATCGGTTGATTCGAGTTTGGGTCTTTGTAGTACGAGTGATTCCCGAACGAATGATTTCTCGAGTGTTGAATACTAGTGGGTTGCATGTATCTCACGTTGCTTCGGTCGCAATACGGCTGCTGAGCCGACGACATGTATAAAGGTTGCAAGTGATTCAAGCAATCTGATTGGCTGACGAGACCGTTGGTTGGAGTCGGGTTGTTGCCGGGATGTAGAGGTGGCACTCGGCTGCACGCGTTGCCACATCGATTTTCGAGGAAGTCACGAGTTTCGTAGGCTGGAGTGTCGTACCTGAAAAGCAAACAAGAAGTTATTTTGTCAGTCACAGGGTCTAGGGTTCGAGTCCAAACAAGTCAATTTATATTGATTTATTTTTTTGGTTTTTATGGATATATTCTAAAAAAAAACACGAATTTATGTTTAGACAAAGTAATTTTCCCTTTCATTAAAGACGATTATTAACCTGTTGCTGTTTGTTTGTTTTAAGTTCTTAATTTCATTAAATTCAAGTATTTGTTTTCGATATTTTTTGAATCTCTGTGAAGAAATTTCATTCGGCATAGTTGAGTAATTGTTTGAATTATTCATGAATGTGCTCTATTAGACTGGGAAACAGTAAACAAAAGTCTGGATTCCTATGATTCATTTTTCTGGATTAAATTTTTTTTATTATTATTCAACCATGGAAGAAATTAATTATGTTTATTGATGTAGATTTGAGTCTCCTTATCTTTTGACATAAAATATGTTAGAAAAGATATTAAATGCGTAAGCGGCAAAGAAAAGCTAGTAGTTTAAATAAAATCATTGGGAAAAATGTTATGCAAAAACCAAAAGTATATTATTGAAAACGAGAAAAAAAAATGAATAATATATTAAGCTAGTCTTGATCAACCGACATTTTACTTGAAAACCAGACTTCCGTGACGTTTTGTGAATGAGTCACTTTTTTTTGTTCTCCAGGCATCGGTTTAAAGACAAACAATGCTTCACATTTGAAGGGGATAATGTTTTTAATGTTTTGCTTGACATATTTCACACAATAAATAATAGCCACCCTCTCAAAATAAAGATCGTGGATCACATATTTAATAAAATTCAGCAAATTTTTTTCTGTTTTACTCTGTTAATTTCAATTTAGCAAAAAATGATGAATTCATTTTTTCAGAAAAAAAGTTAAAAAATTGAGAAAAGTCATCTTAATAAGATTACAAATCATAACAATATAAATAAATTTAATCCAAAGAAGGTAGTTTTAACCTTAATTTTTTTGTCAGAAACATTTCACTGTAAATAAGTTAAGATAAATTTTGCTCAGGTGAAACATTTTGATCCTTTTATGGATCGTATTATACACATAATGCCACAACAAAACATCTGTTTTGATGTATTGTTCGCTTTTTACAGGTGAAAGTCCGGAAAAGATCTGAAATGTCGTCTATAAGGAAATTCTTTGATTCCAAAAAGTCATCACAAATTTGCAAGGTGTGCATGCCGATTTAATAAGCTACTTAAATTATTAAGCAGTAAATTCTTTTTAAAAGTTGACTTGAAAAATAACAAAAGACAGTATTTTTCTTTTGTTTTGATCAGCTGAGCTAAAAAATAAAACAGCACCTTTTTTGGTGCTCATGCATTTCTTGCTGTCATAAAAAGTAATGCAAAATCAATAATGCGGTTAGAATTATTGATATTGTCTTGACCAAAACGAGTAGTAAAATTAGGGGTGGGGCTATGGCTATCCTTTAAGCGTTCATATGACAAGGTACTTGATCATCTTGAAATTAAGTAGTTTTTGGAAGATGACTAGATCCATTTTTTTCACAACACATAATAAAAAACCAAAAAAAAAAACTAAAAATTTAATCCGATTAGGTTTTAATTTTATAGAATTAAAAAGCCGAACAAAATTGAACTCGTTTTCGTTATAAATGTAATGTCTTTTTGCCGTACAGGATTTGATTTTTGCTAATTTTGCAGAGATTTATAAAAAAGAATTAAATAACCCGAAAAAAATAACTCGACTTTGTCTGCAAAAAAGAGAACCGTAGATTTAATTTAAACAAGATAAAACAAATAATTTGAAAATTCGTATTGGCAGGAAACAAAAATGCTTGTATTTCGGTCGTTTTAATTCAAAGGTCATTTTGATTACGAAAATGAATTCCCCTGAAGTGATTATACATAATCATCAATTTCCGGCAACTTTTAACCTTCATTGCTCTAACGACCGATTTCAAATAGTTCAAAAAGAATCAAATTCCTTTAAGGGACAGTGGTAAAAACAATTTGTGACCAAGAGACAAAATGAACTGAATCATTGCAAACATTTTGCTGGGCGTATTCTATATCATTTGGTTTGGATATTTAAGTCCAGGGTTATACAGCTATAGAAATCTATGTACTTTCTAAGATTCCCAACCTCAAAAAATGAGTTGGAATCGTAACAACTAATTTTACTGTTAACTTACAAAAACTTGCAGTTTGAGTGGACTAGAATCTGTTGAACTTATAAAGCTTAAAATAATTCAAAAAAGTTAGAGAGGGTTTTAAAAATAGAAATGGGACGAGCAAAACCAAATATTTTTGAAATGTCAGACATTTGTCGCTCTCGAGTGATTTTTCGTCCCAGTAAAAACACTTCGCAAATTTACTTCAAGCTGAGCTAGAGACAGAAAACTCAAGTGCGCTTATCAAATTTTGCTATAGTTCGAAGTCACTTTAAAATTAGGGTCAAAAATTAAAATATTGCATTATTTATAAAATCTCAAAAGATACGGCAGACTCAAAATACATGAAATTACAAAAACTTTGTCGAAAAGAGTTTTCATTGAAAACTGAATCACACTGATTAATTACAAAGACATTGACCATGTTAATTGGGCCACGTATTAAGGATTTCAGTTTTGAATGTGCGTTTTTCGGGCAAAAAATGTAGCCAATTATTGTTAGACATTAAATCAAAACAATTGATTTCTTATGGTGAAAGCAAGAGACAAAAAAGAAAAAAAAATGTTTTTAGCCGAAATAGAAACTGCTATTCTTGTTAGGCTAAAAACTAGAGACAATATGTAAAAACTTACATTTTTTTTGTTTTGCTGAGAGATTTGAAATTTTTCATTATTTTGTTTCTTTGTTTCAATTTTTTCATTTTTTGTCATTCAATTTTGCAGACAAATGTGGGTTCTACCAACTACAGTAAATTTTTACCCGGCTATACAGTTTTTTAATCACACCAAGTAAACGACACTAGTTTGAAGAATAAAAAGAGCAAACTTGTTGTATTTTTTTATGATTGTCGTCGGAACATTCTGTGCCACTTGCACAGCAACCGGCTATCCTTGTTTTGATTTTTTTATTGAATTTTTATTGGTTTTGATTTTTTTTGTTTTTTAAATTTTTATTTAATGAATAAATCTGTAGCACAAAAATCAGGGTTGGGAATGTTTTAAAACATGTTTTAAAACAAGGCAAAAAAACACGTTTTAAAACAGAAAATAGAAAACTGTTTTTTATTTTAAAACTTTTATCGTAAAAAGCTAGCATAAGCAGGGAGTCGAACCCCTGCGCCATCCCTTCTTATCCCAATTGCAGTCGCCTGCCCTTCCCAATTGCTCTATTTTCCTTAATAAGATGCGGTTGTTTGCTTGAATAATATGACGTATACGTATGTTTGGGCGATCGCGGCATTATTTGGAAGAATCATTGGAAAATCAATTAGAATCCGAACTGAACAAATTGTAAAAAAAACATGTTTTTTATAAAAAAACGCTGTTTAATTGATTTTTTCAATAAAAAATGTTTTTTTTTCACAACCCTGACAAAAATCAAACCCTCGAAAAAATCTCGAGCATGTATACTTCTTCTTTTACAAAACTCAGTCGACCAAAACAGTTGAAAATCTACTCAATTTATTTAAGTTTAAATATAAAATCCGAACTTTAACTACATTCGACTACTGCGCTTTTTGCCATCCCCTGAATTGTTTCTAAAATTCGATGCACGAAAACATGTCTAAAGTGATTTTTACTATTCCAACCAGCAATAAACGATTCGGTCTGAAGAATTTAGCAAATTTAACAAAGTTTCTTTCATAAAAATAGCTATTTGAATAATTTTTAAGCAACTCCATATTATAATTTTAGGAGATCGGTGGAAAACTTCAAAAGAGTCGATAACTGCTCTGTTTGAACAAATGCACCTTTTTCCCGACTTTATAATTTTCTCCGGAATTTTTACTTTGCGTTTCGCTTGTATACATTTTTTTGTGAAGACTTTCTAGTAACAAAAATTTGTCGGGCAAACCAAGAAAACAAAAAGAGAACACTGCAGTTCAAATTTTATTAAGGTAAAATTGAAAACAACACGAAGTTCAGAATAGTTGGCACAATTTTGAAAATTCTTTTACGTTTTCCTTTTATCATATAAAAGCTTAATATTTCCACTAATAAATTTTTGTAAGCTTGAAACGATGATAGCAAATCCTGGTGAATATGTTGGGTGAGGCTGCGACTCGAACCTGGAGCCTATCGATTAAAAAAGAACGGCGCATCACTAAATGCAGTTTTTTTTAGTTTTTACAACCAATAATTAATTTTTTTTGCTTTTTTTTCTAAACAAAACGTTTTAGTAAAATGTTTTTAATGTTGTAGATCATTAAAAAAACTTACAATTGTTCCATTGACTCGCAATTATTAATCGTGCAAGATCGTTTTCTCAAATTCGGCAAATTCTGAACTGCAATGAAAACTTCTTCTCCTTTCTCGTGCTTTGACTTATTTCTCCTTCGGAAAAAGTTGGGAATTAATTTTGGGAGAAATTTCGACTTTTTCTTCTTGTTATGATGAACGCAATGACCTTGCTCGACGCAATTCCAAGCTTGGGTCGAGGATAAGTTTTCGCAACTTGCTGCTGTTCGGCTAGCTGCCTCTTGAATGCAACCAAAATTAGCTTGAGGTGCTTTTGAAACGTTGACCTTTTGGTGTGAACTTTCCTTTTTTTCACGTGTGTTCACTTTTGAAAAATCGACATAATCTGAAGATTTTCTGGGATAGGCGCTGCCCAAACTCTTTCCTTTTTGAGGCTTTTTCGGTTTTTCTAGGGCTTGGTAATCGGTGTAGAATTGGGCACGTGTTATCGAAGGGGTTTGGTAACAGTAGTTGTTTTGATGGGCGTAAGGGTTTGTTTGACTTGGCTGAGCGTTTTGGGGTAAACTGCCAGGGTAAATTCCATTTTGGGCTAAGAACTCTTGGTAAGCAGCCTGCTGCATTTTGGAATCTAAATGAAATTTGATTTTTTTAAAACAATTTACTAACTGAATCTGAATGTAAAGGAATACTGAAAAAGAATGATTTTTTTCCTTGGTCGAGTTTTTTTAACTCGGCATTGCTAAAAATAAACTATTGTGGAAACTCGTCAGAAAAACAAGCTGCATAATTCAACCTACGTTGTCCTTATTGACTTTTATTGTCTTAATGGTTTGAATTATTTTGGCTAAAACCATAAAAAACTGAGCTATGACGCTTAAGCACAGCTAGCAGCTCAGTAGCTAAAATTACAACTAATCAATTTTAGTCAGAAAGGTATTTTGGTACAGATTGGTAAAAATGTAACTCCAGAACACCAAAGTTAAATAAAAACCAAAGCTCGCCAGTAAGTAAAAGCAAATGGTAAAATTGAAGATATATTTTTTAACTTGTGTTCTGGCTAATTACTTCTGAATTTTCTGGCGTCACGAAAGCTCGAAAAACGAATAAAACACAAAAGAATGACTGTTTTTCAGTCTCCTACGCGAGATTGATTGAAGCAATAAAATAAAAACAAAACATCTACAGGTAAGTTATGAATATGATAAAGTTATTATAAACTCGATAACTTTGATGTTTTTGTTTTTAAAGCAGTTTTTGACCAAGTTAGAAAAACAAGACAAGTGCGTTCAACTCACGATAACAATTGAGTTAAGTCGCTGGAGATAAATTCAAGGCTCCAAGATTATTATAACCAATAACTATAATCGGTAAGTTCAAATCCAAAAATGATGTTCGAAATTGCTATTATTGGATACTCAATCACAGAACATATCAGAGGAACTTTGAGTTTTTGATCAAATAAGATCATAATCGTGACAAAAAAATTTCCAGAATAACAAATCTAAAAGGGTTAAAGGTCAGGTCAAAAATGTGATTTTTGAAATAAGGAAAATGCTCAGAATCTTGACAAAATGATAATTGCTAAAATTTGAACTCAAATTTGTCGAACTTTTATCAGACAAGAATCAACGGATAACTGCTAAAGATCGCAGGTAATTTGAGGTAAACAAAATGTTTATAGACAAATTTTCTGGATTTGTGTTGTTTAGTCGATCAAGTTCTGACTTTCCGCAAGAACAGTCTTGATTCTTTCAGCAGGCGGCTTGGCTTGAGGTAGATTAATCAAGAGATCTAAGAGCTCTTAAACGTCGTCTAAAACACAAAGTAAACAATAAATTTATCATCATTATTTCACACACCACCGAAATTATATAGTTTAACTTGGTTAAGTAGAAGTTAATTACATTTTTGAGACGAGGCTTTTTGTTTGAAGAGTCAATATTAGTTTTGAGTGGTCGCCCCACATTTGCGATAAATTTCATAAGTTTTGGATTATCGGACTCAGCATGGGATGATATTGCTGGGTTAGTCTATTTAGTAGACTGTCAGATTGACCGACAACTTTGACAGCCCAAGCTGGAAAAAAAAATCAAAACTTTGCCAAAAAAAACTTAAGATTTTCAAGTTTGTTGAGTTTGATTGCCAAAAAAAAGAAAAGAACAGAAATTGTTAGAAATTCCGGCCGATAGTGTATAAAATATAATTTAAACGATAAACTATATCAAGCGATGAGCATTGTTTGGTTTTGATTTGTGCTTTTTCGGCCCTTTTTGAAATCGGGTTAGTCGTGCGTCGACTTAGTTTCAGGCCAACATACAATACCGAGGTTATAAGAAGACTAAGACGATATCATATTTTATCGATCAATTTCATCATCTTGCATAACAAATTTTCCAAAAAAATCTTATTTAATAAAAACCAGGGTCGTCAAAATTTTGATGAATGTGTTAATCATTGAGTTTATAGGTTTGAAAACTTAAATTTTCCGATAAACAGTTTGAAAAATTGTGCGCACTGTCGATTCCACAAAATTACCAGACGTTAACATTCCACATGCCATAATAAAACACCCATTACTAATGTGGCCATTTTTTGGCTGAAAAAGAAAGGTATAACACAGCGACAGGGACAATTAAATAATCCGACTGAAAAGCTCCGAATGACATGAAAAGAATATCGCTTACGGTGCAAAAAAAAAATCAATAAAGCCAAGATAACACACCGTCAATATCTTTTGTTCTTTTTTTAAGGGCACTATATTTAGAAAAATAGCCCGCTAGGCTAAAGAGATTAATCAGGGTTTTATCACTTATACGAACCTCAAAGACGACGAAAAATGGTACATTCTAACCTTACTCGGTCTGAAAAATGGATGAATTACTTCTGGCAAAAATGGTTAGAAGGTTCCAATAAAAAAAAATCCTCTATAAAGAAAAAATGAAAATATCTGTTTTTTTTTCGGGAAAAAGTAATGAGCCAGGGAAAATTTTCCCTTTTGGTGATAAACTTTTAATTATGGAGAGCAAATGAAAAAGCAGGGTAGTTAATTGAACTTTTAGCTAAAATAAGTGTACAATTTTTATTCTTTTTCAGGTCAAAATAAGGAAAGATTTCAGGTATTTATGAAGGAAAGATGAACCCCAGTGCCTTGGGAATTGCAAAATAAAAATATTACCTGAAAACTTTATCGGTCAATTGTATAAATTGTAATTTGAATTTATCTGCTCAGCAGAAAAGAAAGATGTAATTATGAAAAAAGCTTGTTTTTGTTTTTCAAAATGAAAAAAAAATCATTTTTCGGAATTTGCGACTCGTGTTAATTAAGGCTAATGGATGTACATAAAGAATAGGTGTAGATTTTGACTAGTGTGAGCTATTTAAGAGGAAAAAATAAATATAAAAACACACTTGGCTAAATTGCCCAACCATAAATTGGAAAGATAACAGCAAATTCTTGCAGAAATGCGAGGCCGCAGTCTTAAAAAATTTAAGTATTTGCTAAATATACATAATCACGAAATGCTGGCTGACATTAAAAATCAAAACAAAAGGTGAACTTGTTTTACCTGCGATTTGCTATTTCAATAGGGAAGCCAATTTTAGGCCTAAAATTTTGGGGAACCTATTTAACCTGCGAATTACTAATTTTGAGTTATTATTTGAAACAACAAATAACGAATTAACAAAAAAGAATGTCGAACTCGCATACATACCGAAATTGAATATAAAAAAGAAAATTTGCTTTTTTGCAATGCAATTCCCAATAATTGTTGGCAAAATGACAATATTTAAACTAATAACACCCACTTAAGCTCAATTAAAAAATTATTTCCTATAAGGAACAAGCCAAGATAACTATCAGTACTTACATAGCGAGTAATTTAGCTGGATTCCATAACTTTTCCAAGCTTGCAATGAAAATATTTTGACAAAAGGATTAAGAAGTATGAACAAGACTTTTCAGATCTGAGTTTTCGTTTTGAAAATTGTTACCTGAAATCAGAACAGCTAATAAGATAGGCAATATTTTTTTATTGGCTTGATTATTACTCGAACTGGGAAAATAATAATTTTTAAGCTAGCAAAATTCGGAGTTTCCGATCATAGCTGAAATAAATAAATAATCACAAATTGAAATCAACGATATATGAATTATGGTTTTTGAAGAGGAGACTCGATTAAATAATTTATCGCTTAAACAAAAATAATTAAAGTAAACTGCAAAACTATGATAGGCGGGAATTTTAAATGAAGAAAAAAATGCTATTTTTCAAATTGAGTATGAGCCGCTTTAACTAAATATAAAATTTTTTTTTCAATTTCGTAGCTCAACATAAATCTCTTTTATCTAAGCGAAATAAAAATAAATATGCACATGTTCCCAATGAGAATGCTACTTACATACACGCTCATTCACTACTGCTGTTTTTTAAAACTGGTATTTTGGAACAGTTTAATAACGAAAAGATAAACGTTATGCATTTGCTATTGAAACATTCAATGAATAAAATTACGACGACTAAAATTGTATTATATTCAGGGAGCGGATAATAGTTTTAGCAACTAAAAACAACTATTTCCAACTTTTCTGTTGTTTTTCCCTATAACTATCTATTTTCCAATAAACTTCACAATAGCAACTTTTTCGGAAGTTTTCTTTGTTTGAAGCTCATATTAACGGATTCAACGAACACAGATGCGCTGCAGCTGGCGAATATTAATTATCCAATGGCAGCTCAGCCATCCGTGCTTCGTTTTGTTTGTTTCGATTCTTGTTTCTTTTCAGACTTTTGACGGAGAAAACTGTACGCCAACTTATGTTCTGCTACTGTAACAAAACGTTGTAAATTTAACGTTTTTCTGCAAGTTTTTACCAACTTTTTGAGCAACTTTTCCAGTCAATTTTGAGCAACTTCTTAGTAACTTTTTTGCCTTTTTGAAAGCAACTATTATCCGCTCCCTGATTATATTACTGCATGCATAGGAAAAATTAGCCACCAATTGTTTTTTCTAGGACGTTTTATCTTCAAAGTTTTCTGAATATCTTCTAGTTAAAAAAACTTGCTCTTTTGTGAAAAAATACAAAACTTAAAAATCAAATAAAACAAAAAAATAAACATAGAGTGGGTAGAAAACAAAATGAAGTTTTTCTTGAACTCAAACTTGAAACTACGGAAATATAGCAAAAAAATTATTGAATGCAAAAATTGGAAAAATTTTTCTAGAATTTCCAGCTATTTAAATGAAAATGAAGATCAAAGTAAACTTTTGATTTTTGCAGACACAAATAGTTACTAAACAAAAACAAATAATTCAACGAAATGCAGACCAAACCGTTGAAAAAAAATTAAAAAAAGTTTTTGATATTGACATTCATAGCTTTTTCATTCTTTTTCTAACCAAAAATATTGAAGCCCAATTGAATGGCAGTTGAAAAATTCAAGCTTTGTGCTGATATTCGAGCAGTCTTGTTCTAATTCTGGGATAGTCCCGAGGGGTTTTTTGACAAGCCTTAAATTTCAATTGCTACAATTATAAGCTGCAATTAACCGAACAGCTATAATCAATTTAGTTGCATTGCAATCTCGGGTCGAGTTCACATTGAAAAGTAGCGACAAAAAAGTAGAAAAAAAAACAGCAATCGCCATTGGTAATTTCACGATGTTCATTGCCACACTAGCAAATATTATCGATAGGCAATTTTACTAATTATCAGCGATGAAACAGCAATGAAAAAACCTATCAAAATGAGCATGAATGGTGAAGTGCCGGGGTTCGATCCTAAATATGCGGTACTAAGCCTCAGCAATAACAAGTTATAGGTTGAATAACTCACACTCTCATTTGAAAACTACTAGATTTTCATAAGTTTTAGCGCTGATTCTCTGCGGAATAATTACTGAAATAGCTCTGAAATACAAAATCGCTTTTTTATTTATACAAAAAACTCTGAATTACACATCAATCGGCGCTGGAAAATAGCGATTACTGGGATACTACAGAAAAAGCAAAAATCAACGGTGTGACTTCAACTCGAGATAAAATTAGGCAAATATATATTCAGTTTGTCTGAAACGCGCAAAACAATTACGCTCAGTATAATTTTAACGATACCTCGCTAAGTTCTCTTCGTCGCGGATTTGAGTGACACCTGTTTTTGATGTGGAAAATGGCAGATATCAATAAAAAAAACTCGGATAATTCGATATTGTGTTTCAAATTTATTGCAATCCCCACATGCAGGTCATGTGAGGTCTCAACTCTAGGGGAATTTTTTTGAGATCGGTTAATTTGCGGCTTGCGCTTCAATGGCACAAAACATGTCGAGCATTACTTGTCCCAACAAATAAACAACTTGGCAATTTTCAAAATCCCATTGTTTTTTTGATAAAAATCCCAAATGTACAGATTTTTCAAATTCAATCTCAGGGGGTAAATACCTCTCAAATAGTGTAATAACTTTGTTCAAAAGAGACAAAATAGAAAGATTTATTAGAAAACGCCAAAAACTTTAACCTGACTGATAAAAAAAGCCAGCACTCAGTGATTAAAAAGGTTGGTTAAAATTTCTTCAACGGTATTTTGTTACTTTTGAAACTTTTAAAACTATTTTAAACTAGTTTTTAAGAGAAACAACCTTATCCGCCTTTTAATGAAATATATTTATCTTTAACTTTAGAGGGATTTTCAAAAAACCATTCCCTGGCTTTGATCATTTCGAATTGGGTCCATTTTTTTAACCAGCGGCTCAATTTTCAGAAAAATTCTACCATTGAAACTAAATTTCGAAACACACAGCAACATAGGCCTTTCTGAAAACCTTTCAAAACTATGCGAAATACACAGCAACATAGGCCTTTCTGAAAACCTTTCAAAACTATTTGAAAACGTGCCAACTCTTTATTGAAAGATATAAACTAATTTTTTTGCGCCAATTTTTTTGCTCAGTACTCGGTTTTTTTTTAGCTTTTGGCCGTAACTCCTTTTTTCTTACGCTTTCACCAGTCTAGAAGTAGAAAAAAACCCGCGGGATTAACATAAAAATTGAAAGAGGAAACTTAAACCTGTAACTAATTTTTTGCCATCCCGAAAGTGAATTCACAATCAAACATCTCTTACATCTGCTTACGCAGTATCACAATTTAATCAGTGAAAAAAATAAAATTTGAACTTGATATTTGATGTCAAACTTAACCTTCGTCGATCGGTAATCAGTGCTGTACGATGGAATTTTGACCCTTTTTTGGAGACTCCAGATTCAAAATGAGACACTAAAAACTAGAGAAATGAAGCGTTGCAAGAAATAATTTGAGCGAAGATACAACAAAAAACAGCAATTAATCAGTCAATTGTCGAAATTTTTGCAAGCAAATGGTATCGATTATTGTAAAGAACTACAAAATGAAGCTAAAGAGTAACAAAATAGTTTTTCTTTGCTAAAACCACCAAAACCTGGAACCATATAAGCACATGTTTAAGCTCCGAAACTGTTGAATAAATCATAAAGCTAAGCGTCTTAAAATTCAAATTTTGCCGGGAGGAAAATTTTGCCACTAAGCAAGCAAATTTTGACGCTGTAAAATAAAAATGGAAAAGAAGGAAAAAAAAAGAAAATGTAGCGAAGGTATTTGCAATGATTATATGGTAACATACCATATGGTGAAATGCATAAATTTGAAGTAACCGCGTGAATATTTTATGATCGAACGCGGAGCTTTGAAGGATATTTTTCACCATTTCAGCAAACATTATAGGCCTTCATAAATTTTATGATAGCAACCTTGTTGCCTTTTTGACCGTTCAGAAATTTTGATCGTTAGAAAAAAACACGGCAGAAACCAACGGTTAAGATCTTTTTTGTTTAAATAATGACAAAAGAATTTGCAGTTTTGTTTTAAGATTGCAAAAAAGATTAGTCGTTTGATCAAATTTCTTAAATATCGCCGTCCTTTGAAACTAAAGTTACTCATCGAAATTAATTATAATTTCAAAGGTTAGCCGAAATATGATCTGTCGTTTTTTTCTGAAAGACTTTTTGAACTTATGAACTTCAATATTATCACGGCGAATTTTTTCAAAATGGCTTTTGATGATATTCAATATAGCTATCAGAAAATTGAATTCATTATCGTTTGGATGATATTTTCATTGCGTCATGGCGCGGCGCTGTTAGTCATGGAAATTAAAACAGCTAGGGTTGATTTGGAGGAAATTGAGGTTATAAAAGTCTGGGCGCGGGGGATTTAATTTAAGTATTTGCCCTAGCAACCCCATGAAATAAACCATATCATATCTCAGTACCTTCAAGTTTGATTTTTTTCTTCAATATTAAAAAAAAAACGTTTAAAGAACCAAAAATTTTGAAAAAAATGTCAAAATTATGAAGACTTTATAAGGTTGATCTAAATTTTGTTACCGTTTTTTATCATGAACGCATGAAAAAAACGTAGCGGTTATTTACCTGGTTCCAAGGATTTCGAGTTTATTTCGAATTGGCTTCTCAATTTTTGAAGATAATAAAGTTAAGTGTCCGCTAATAATTTCCAGAGCGCGTTGCAAGGCTTGAACGGAATGCGTGGGATATTTTTTACACAATGCTCCAGCTTATTTTTTTTACTATTTACTAAATTAACTCAGAAATAGGTCAACGG